GAAGCTCCGGCGAGAAACGTGAGCACACGCTCCCCCATCGACGGTGGCAATGGTGGCCCCAGGCTCTTGGAAACCTAGGTCATCATCGCCATCATCGATGTCCTCGGCGGGGGCCTTCTGCTTGGCCTCTTTTCGCCGATTGCCGGAAGGAACCGCCGGAGACTTGCCCTCACGGCGTTCCTGCCTCCTGTCCTCCTCCCACTTCCTCGTCCGCTCAGCCAAGCTTTTGACTGCGCGGCAATCCGCGAGATCGTGGAGGGAGGTGTTGTGGACGGAGCACCACTTGCCGGCCGGGCGCTCCCTGCTGGGAGCACCAGCCTTTTTCTCTTTGTCGCTCGCAGGCCTCCCCTTTCGGGTGGCCCGCGAAGCGCCCTCGACGGCGAGGACATGACCCTCGTCGCCGGAATGGACCGACCTCTTCTTCCTCCTCCTGTCACGCCGCCCTATCTGAGCGGTGGACCCGGGGGCGGCCGAAGCTGCCACACCGGAACCGGAGGGGTTCCAGGTCCACGCTTCCTCCTTACGAGCCACTCGGTCCGCGAGCTGAAAAAGCTCCGCGGTAGTCTGGGGCTCTTTGGAAGCGATCTTTTCGAGCATGCGGTTGTGCCGCACACCCCCCCTGAACGCGTAGATCACCGCGTGTGCAGGGATGCATGGTATGGTATTGCGGACTTGGCAGAACCGCTGAATGTACGAGCGAAGTGACTCATCATCCCCTCGCTGTACTGCGTGCAAGTCCGCTTCTTCACCTGGGCGCGGATAAGTGCCTTGAAAGTTCATGGTGAACTGTTGGCACAAATCTTCCCAGGAGTGGACCGACGCGGGAGGCAGGTTCATTAGCCAACCCCGCGCCTGTCCTTTCAGGGCCATGGGAAAGAAATTCGCCATGACCCTGTCGTCACCCCCAGCGGCCTCAATCCCGGTCGTATAGACCTGGAGAAACTCGGTGGGGTTGACGCTGCCATCATACTTCTCGGTGATGGTGGGCCGGAACCTTGGGGGCCAACGGACATTCCGAAGACTCGCCACAAAGGCTCTACAGCCGACACCACCAACCGGGGGCACGGAGGGCTGGTCCTCACGTCCATGTCGAGGTGACACTCTGGACGAAGAGGCGCCCTCCGTTGCGCGGGGAGTACGCCGGCTATTACGCCGGCGCTCGATGTCGAAGCGGGCATCCGGCTCTCCATGCTGATCCTCCCGAGTCGGAGGCGCCGACGAGGGAGTGGCAGCCGAATGGCGTGCAACAGCCGCCGCTCGCCGCGCCCTCCGCCTTGACGACACGGAGCCGGTGGTGGCGGCGCCGGAGGTCCTGGTGGTGGCGGACCGTCCACCAGCACCCAGGCGCTGCTGTGCCGTCATGACCAAGTTGGCCACATCGTCCAGCCATCGCTGGGCTGGAGACTCCGGGTCAGGGACGACGGGCGGGTGACGTAGGAGCGCGCCAGCAGCCTGAAGCGCGCCCTGAGGCGTGCTGCCGTCGCAGTAGACGAGTAGGCGACGCTCCCCATCTCGCCGTTCTCCTGCATCACCCGCGACTGGTGATGCTGCGGATTTTTCGACCCTCTCGAGCGCCTCCCCCTGCTTAGGACTTTGGTGTGGAGGAGGTGGGGGAGTACGAGCTCGACGGCGTGGGTTTGGCTCCCCGTCGTCGCCGCTCACACTCGGAGAGAGGTCGTGCGCCTTTGCTTGCTCGGCCATTAGGCTGAACAAGAAAAACTTGGCGCACACGGAAGAGTGCGAGAGCTCAGAAAACACACGCTGAGCCCCCTACCTGGCGCGCCAGATGACGGAGCTCGTGGCTCCTCACCGGGAGACCGCTCTGGCCCCCCTTTGCCGGTTCGGCCGGGGGCTTAGGGTGAAATCCCAAGCTCTCTCGGTATGTGGAAAGATCGCGAGCCAGGAAGGAACGCGAGACACGGGCGATGTATACAGGTTCAGGCCGCCCGGAAGCGTAATACCCTACTCCTGTGTTTTTGGTGGATCTGTGTATGAACAAGTTACAAAGTATGAACCAGCCCTTCCCCGCTCCAAAAGTCCAAGATCCGTTTTTTTTCCCCTTTCTAAGTGGGCAAGGTCCTCCTTTTATATCTCAAGGGGATACCACATGCACCTCTCCCTTTCCAAACTGGACTTTTCTTCTCTTCATAAATGGACGGAGATCGGTACGGTTGCTGTCCGAGTGCCCTTCTGACGGGACGGCCCATACCTACCCCCACTTCCGCCGGAAACAGGTGCGACGTGGGATTATGGCTGTCTGTTGATGACGCGACCAGTGTCTGACCGGTCACAAATCAGTCATCCTTGTCCACCACGTGTCAGCTGGGCAAACATGCATGTTTGCCCTTCTTCATGTAGCATCTTGCCTGTAATGGTTGGGATGAAGCCTGGTATAAATCTAACCAGGGCTAACGTGCCATCTCTAAGAGATAACACGCTAGCTCCGGCTTGAGACGAGTGCCTAGAGGCTTTCGTCTTGACGGGATGGGGCAAGGCGTGCGTCAGACCGCCAGTCGCCACCTAACCCGTGATCTGACCGGTCTGTGACTGGTCACAGACCGGATAAAGGAACGCGCTGCACTGCGCTGCATGCAGCGTGACACGCTTGACCAGACTGCAATAAATGTGGTTAGGTGAGCACTGCCGTGTTCACCTATCCCATATATGTGGCGCAAACCTCCTCAAGGGGTCGGGGTGCCTCGGCCCTCGGGGCCGGGGCAGGAGTAACCCGACCCCCCTCGGGGAAATCAGGAGGAGAGCGGACACCTCACCCTCGGGCCCGACGTCCCCGAAGGTGCCAGGCCACGTGGGCGATTGTGTCTGCCTCAAGCCTCAGGTCACGATACTCCCGGTCCCATATCACTGACAAACGTAATATCTTGTTATGTATGCTAATGTAATGGTAAAGTGTATATTTAAAACTAGTAGATCTACGCAGTTACCGATATCTAGCAATACGCAGTTCTAGATTAATACAACTAAAACCCTAGAAAATATAATGCATTTATTCAAACAAAGTTTTAAAAAATACACAGTAGTTAACTCAATAGTCAAAAATATAATGCATCTATGAATATTACATGAAATCGGAGTCTCGAACCGACAGAGCTTCGCCTCTTCTTCTCTTCTCCTCCCCCTTCTTTTTTAGAGTGGAGGTGATGGGAGGAATGAGGAGGGAGGGCTGGGCGGCAAGGGGCCTCCATGCAAAAAAGCCAGCCCAGGCCGGCCCCTTTCCACCCTAGCAGTGGGCGGCAAGGGTTTAATGAAAAAAAAATTTCGATCCGCCGTCATCGCCTGTCCCTCCCCTGTTTGCCACGTCAGCTTGCCATCCTAGTGGAGGGCAGCAAAGTCTATTTTTGTAAATTTTTCCAACGATAAATTATTTATGTAAATATTAAAAAAAATTAAAAATGAAAAAAAATTCGATGAAATAGGCGGACTGGCCCAAGAGCAGCAGCAAACTCAACGACGGGTCGATGGCTGAAGGCCCAAAAATCCACTCGCAGCTACAACGTGTGTGGCCCAAATCCGACCCGGACACGCGGGAGAGGCCAAGTCCAAGTCCGAGGCCGCAGCGCGTGCGCGTGGGAGCCCGAAGCGGCGTGGGATCCTGCGGCAATCCGTGCCGGCCCACGACGGATCAGTGCACATTGTTTTTGTGGTCGGGAGTGTTTGAAAGGAGGGAAAATAGAAGGTGGAGAAATACCTAAAACGATATGAGTCATCAACACATGATTAATTAAGTATTAACTATTTTAAATTTTAAAAATAAATCAATATGATTTTTTAAAACAACTTTGCTATAGAATTTTTCTTTCTAAAAACGTACCATTTAGTAGTTTGTGAAGCCTGCGCGCGAAAAAGAGGTACTGTCTCTCTCAATTACCCTGGAACGAGAGAGCCTCGTCGCCCATGCACCACTATCAACTATTTTGAAAAGTTTAATATTACAGTCAACCGTTAGCTCTAAAATTGATATATCATCTGCTGTCAACCTAATAGCATATTTGTATAATAGTTTTATATAAATATAAATTGCACCATTAGTACTTGGCTCACATATGTAACGTGTTTTTCATTTCTCTTCTCCATGGATGTTTATAGCTATTTATAATATGTTATTGGACTTATTATTAGTTGATGGCTTTCTTCTCTCTCATGCTTTCTCTCTCCTCCACTTAGCTTTTTTAACGTATTAAATTTAGAAATCAAAACAATATGAATATATTTATGTTTATGTATCTTCAAAATCAATGTTAAATAAAACTATTAGCACTGTTAGGCGGTTTTCTCTTGGAAATATCTTTTTTATGTGATATCTTATTATTATTACTTTATTTTTAGTAGGCTGGCTGCATATATTTAATATAAATATTAAATTAAACTAAAAAAGAAAATCTCGTAGTATTTTGATACTAAGATGCGATTCATGATCATACTTAGACTTATGATCATACTCCCGCCGGGCCAAAAGGAGCGACAAAATATGATTGATTAAGTATTTACTAATTTTTTTAAAAAAATGAAAATGTAATTTTTAATGTAACTTTCGTATAAAATATTTATATAAAAAAAATATTGTTTAGCCGTTTGAAAAGCGTGCGAGCGAAAAACAATGGACACAGCCTAAAAAACAATGGGCTGGTTTGGTTTGTGGCCTAAATAGGACTTACTAAATTTTGTCAGTGTCAAATTTTGGTATGACTAATTTTGATAAGGCAAAGTTGTGCTTGGATTGAAGCCAAAATAGGCTAAGTTCACTATTAAAATGGCCTATTTTCTTAGGCATGAAAAACTTAGCTTCAAACCAAATAGATATTAAACACTATATTAAAATTATCAAATATTGATAAGTCTAATTTAGGTCTCAAACCAAACCAGCCTAAAGATCCTGATAATGACCAATCTGGACCGTGCGTGTTCTGGAAAGGAAAAAGAACATTTTCCGCTGTTCCGCCTAATGAGTCTACGCGCAGGCGGCAGGTTAGTTCCAAGAGAAAATGTCGATCAATAACGCGGATTCTAGAGTAACGCGGATTCCAGACTATTCCTCCGTGGTCTACTTTATCCAGCGTTGGAAACCCGCTCCTACACACACACACACCCACTACCGCTCTCCGCAATTCAGCCAGACTGCAGTTGCAGCAACAGCAAGGATGGCTGGTGGAGTCGGGGAGGCGCTCGTGTCCGCCGTGCTGAAGGAGGTGCTGGGAAAGCTTGGCTCCGCCGTCGGGGAACAGATCGTGATGCGATGGAACCTGAAGCAAGATCTGGAGAGCATCAAGAGCACCCTGGGTATGCTTCAAGCGGTGCTCAGGGATGCCGAGAGGCGCTCCGTGAGTGACGAAGGCGCCAGCCTCTGGCTGAAGAGGCTCAAGAACGCGGCCTACGACATCTCCGACATGCTCGATGAATTCGAAGCCAAGTTATCGGAGGTAAAAAAGTGTCCTCCCGCTAGGATGTCGTCCTTCACTTCAGTTTTATGCTTATCTATGCTCCTCCCGTCAAAAAAGATTTGACATTTAGGACAATATTTAGTAGTCTCAGCTAGATTCCCTAAGGCTTTGTTCGGTTTAGAGGGGATTGAAGAGGATTGGAGGGGATTGATGGGGAATAATTCCACACCATAATAGGTGTGGAATAAATCCCCTCCAATCCCTCTCTCATGGGGTTAACCGAATAAGGCCTAACTGGTTTATAGTGCCCAACAAGCAAATAGAGGTTTTGCAGCGTGTTCCAATGGGGCAACTGCTCATTTGCCTTTGTACTGTTACAGTCATGTTCAAGAGCAAGTTTTTCCTTTCTACTTCCTCCGTTTCATATAATCATATTATAAGACTTTATAGCATTACCCACATTCATATATATGTTAATGAATCTAGACATATATGTGTGCCTAGATTCATTAACATCTATATGAATGTGGGCAATGCAAAGTCTTATAACCTGAAACTGAGGTAGTACTTCTTTATGTTGGGACAGTCGTTTCATTATGTTTTCTACAAACGTTCAACAGACAACATTCTCTAGCTCGGTGGCCAAGTTATTTATGGGCAAAAGGTTGAAGAATATGAGGGTAAGGTTAACAGAGATAGCAGCAGAACGAACACACTATGGATTCACTCTAGATACCTACCCTAGGGATCTGGAACGGGAAGAGATCAGCAAGAGGGAAACAACATCAAAGATCAATAAGTCAGCTGTTGTTGGAAGAAACAAAGAGAAGGAGGAAATATTAGCATTGTTAGAATCGGACAACATTGAAAATTTGCTGGTAATTCCAATTTTTGGATTTGGAGGTATTGGTAAGACCACACTAGCTAAATTGGTTTTCAATGATGATCGAACACAAACTTTTGATTTGCGTGTATGGATTTATGTATCTCCAAATTTTGATTTAAAAACGATTGGCAGAAGTATAATTTCACAAATCAAAGGACAGAGTGACTGTTTAGATGATCTACAGTCAATAAGTAACTGTCTTGAAGAGATATTGGATGGTAAAAGTTGCCTGATTATTTTGGATGATTTATGGGAGAACAGCTGTTTCCAGTTGGGTGAGTTAACATTGATGCTAAGCAGCTTTAAGGCAGAAAGCAGGCTTAGGATCGTTGTCACAACACGGAATGAAGAAGTTGCAAGGAAGATATGTACAGTTGCACCATACAAGCTGAAGCCATTGTCTGATGACCATTGCTGGACATTGTTTAGGCAGAGTGCTATCCTGTCTAGTTGTACTTTTCAAGGAGGTGATAAAAATGTGTTGGAAGAGATAGGATGGGAGATTTCAAAGAAGTGCAAAGGAGTTCCATTGGCAGCCCAGTCTCTCGGATTCATCTTGCGCACCAAAGATGTTGAAGAATGGAAAAATGTGAGAGATAGTGATGTATGGGATGGATCATCTCCAGAAGATGTTGTGCTGCCATCGCTGAAGCTTAGTTATTACCAGATGCCTCCTTATTTGAAGATTTGCTTTTCTTATTGTTCAACATTTCCTAAAGGTTGTGAGATTTATAGTGATGATCTAATTCAACAGTGGATATCGCTTGGTTTCATTCAAGAAAGACCTAATAAGCACATATCGCTTGAAAAGATAGGAGAACAGTATGTAAGCGAGCTATTGGGAATGTCCTTTCTTCAATATTCAAGTCTTGTCCCTGGTGAGCGAATTTTCCAACTTACATATAAATCTCTTTAGTTGATTTACATATAAACCTTAAAATATTCAAGAGATGTAAGTTGGAAAATTTTAATGTTCACCCAACTTATTTTGGGGCATCCATTCCATGAATTCCAACAGTTAAGATTACATGACTTTTATGGTGTTTGCATCCCAAAAAGGGTAAAACACCATAAAAGTTCTCTTAAGATTGCCATCTAGGAAGGAGTAATTGGTTAGCACTTATCATGCCAAGGGTAGTATAGTCTTTTTTGACAGTATCATAAGTAAGAAAACACACATAGCCACTGTCATTTGAATAATAGAGCAATGCAATGTTTTCTTATCATTCATGATTTAATTTTGGTCTAAGTGTGTTACTTTTATGTGATATGCATGAATCTGGACATTGGGCATTAGCAGTAATGCTTAAACGTATAATTGTGGCTATCCATGGCGCACAAAAAAAAAAGGATGCACGCATTGATTCCATGATTTTGTTATAAAAAAAGTTAACATGTTTAATACCGCATACAGAGAACATATATCAGTTTTCAAATATTGATCTATATTTCTATTTACATAGATTGTACAGAAGAAATATTTATAAATTTATATGAGTATTTGTGATTTTGTGTACCATGAAATGTTATATTAAGCCAAAAGGACATCTGATTTCCTTGAATACATGGGAGGATGAACTAAATGTGCTTAGAAAAGTTTCTTAATTAACATAATAAAAATCTGCCATACTAGGCAAAGTGCATGCATGGCAATTACCCTTGATCAATGGATGGTTCGGATTTAATACTCATCTTACCTCATAGCAGCTAAGTGGAGCACCCTAAAATTGCTCATATAAGTTTAGTAGTCTAATCCTTTTTCTTCTATTGAATTAAAATTCAGGCCCTCTTTCTATTGAATAGGTGTACTTTCAGGGTCATCCTGGACTAATTTAAACATTTCAATGTACGAATTTTAGATTACACGGGACTACGGGAGGATGCTAAGTGTTCTATGGTACTCAGCATGCATGATTTGATGCATGATCTTGCTAGATGTGTTATGGGTGATGAGCTACTTCTAATGGATAATGGAAAGGAATACAACTCTGGAGAAGGCAATTGTCGGTATGCATTACTAATCAATTGTGTCGGGCAAACAAAGTTCTCCTATTCATCTACTAAATTAAGAGCTATGCGTTTTTTCAACTGTGATGGAATTCAGCTACCCTTATTTACAAAATCTTTGCGTGTCTTGGACATAAGTAAGTGTTCTTGTGGAAAATTACCTTCATCTATTGGGAAATTGAAGCAATTGAAGTTCCTTAGTGCTACTGGCATGCAACATAAAACAATTCCCAAGCATGTTATGAAACTTTCAAAACTTATTTATTTGAACATAAATGGGTCTTTGAACATTTCAACATTGCCAACATCAGTGAACAAACTGAGATGCTTGCTACACCTGGACCTATCTGGTTGTAGTAACCTTTGTTCATTGCCAAACTCATTCGGTGACCTGACAAATCTCTTGCATTTGAACCTAGCAAATTGTTATGATCTTCATAGTTTGCCCAAGTCTTTTCATAGGCTAGGTGAACTCCAGTATCTAAACTTGTCACGCTGTTTATCATTAAATTTAATGGTTGACATCAATGCTGTGTGCTGCCTTACAAAGCTACAGTACTTAAACCTGTCTCGTTGCTCAAGTCTCATCCACCTACCTGAAACAATTAGGGGTCTAAAAGATCTCCACACTTTAGATATCTCAGGATGTCAATGGATAGAGATATTTCCGAAAAGCATTTGTGAGATCACCAGCCTCAAATTTCTGCTAATACAAGGATGCTCACCCTGGTTAGAGAAGCGTGTGAGGGAGTCTCAGTTCAAGAATGATATGCTAGCATTGCCCAAGTTTATTGTTCAAAGAGCAGCTTTTGGCATGTGTAGCAATATTTCGCGGCTTCAATCTGTACATCCTGCTGAGCTAGAAATTGAATGCCTTGAGAATGTAACAAGTATCGGAGAAGTGGATGTTGTAAACTTGACGTATAAATCAGCACTATCAAAATTGGCATTGGCATGGACTCCTGCAGCTGAGCGTTTTGTGGAGGATGAAGATTTGCTGCGGAAGTTACAACCTCCTGACACTCTAAAAGTTCTCCAGATACAAGGCTACATGGCGACATCATTTGCTAGCTGGATGATGAACTTGGCATCACGTCTGCCTTATCTAGTCCGAATTGAGATGGTAGATTTACCAAGGTGTGAATATTTACCACCATTTGGTCAATTACAACATCTGGAACTGTTGATTCTTAGGAGAATCCTTAGCCTCAGGAAACTGGGAGGAGAAATTTGTGGTGGTAATGGAGCATTCAGGAAATTGAGGGAATTTACATTGGTAAAGATGGATAACCTAAATGAGTGGATCACCAAAGTATCGGCTAATGGTGAATTCATGTTCCCCAGTCTTCACAAGCTGGAAATTTCTCAGTGTCCTATTTTAAGGTTAAATCCATGCCTTCCTAGAGCTCTTGAATGGAGAATAGAAGCAAGCGATCAAATTATAGCAGATTTCTATCACACAGGCTCGTCATCGTCTTTGGTACTATCGAAAATGCATATTAGAAGCTGCCGCCTGCTGCCCAATGACTGGAAACTGCTTCAGTTCCTTCCTGATCTTCAGGTGTTGGAACTTACACACTGTTGGTTTTACGAATTGCCAAAGAGCATTGGGTACCTGACGACACTCCGATCACTGCGGATAGATGGCTGCGATAGCATGACGAAACTATCAAAATGGTTGGTCAGTCTGTCATTGCTACATGAATTAATTATTACTGGTTGTTTGAATCTGGTATATTTGCCGGCATTTGTACAAAAGCTTAGTGCCTTGGAGAAATTGGAAATTAATGATAATGATGCACTGCAGAGATGGTGCAGAAACAGCGACAGCTGGATCTCAGAGAATGGCATAAAAAACAAGGTAAACGCTTATAACATTCTCTGCAAATAAGTACAATTACTATACTTGTTTGGTAATGCGGAACATTAGGCGCCTGAATTTTTCTATTTTAAGTATCGTATATTTTGAAACAAACCAGGGCATCTTATTGTAATTAAGTTCTCAAAAAGTACATACAAATATAAAAACTACTATGCTGTAACGGTTTTTTGCAACCACTCCAATACCTTCTATGAATTTGTATGACAAAGTACGCCTAATGCATGGATCCCCAATAAATGTAGCTGTGTCCTAACTCCTAGTTGTAGCCTTGTAGGGCTTCAGGTGAACTTTGTTCTTACTTCTATGATGTAATGTATGAGATGTCACTCGGCTATATATTAATTTTAATTTGCCATATACTACATTTCATGTTCCTCTATATATCTATTATATACTAAAAGTCCATTAAACTTCCTACAAACGTTCCTAAATCACCACTTGGCGCTCTAATAAATTAGAGAAATCAAAGAAATTCTGATAAAAAAGCAAAACATCCTACCCTTAATTTTCAATACGGTGGACCTATTATTCTTTACCATTAGATCAAAATCAAAAAATCTATCCATAACCCCACCACCTCCTGGGCCTCCTCCTCCTCTCCCCATCACGTAGGTACGTACGTACATCCATCTGTCCATCCATCCCCTCCTCCGTCTCCTATCCTATACCATTATTTCCATCTTTTAATTTTCTACCTACCAAAATTTAAAATTTATGATGATTAAAAAAAATCAAACATTATAACCAATAGATTATAATCTACCTATTAATATCCTAAAAAAATATATTAAACTTCCTACCAACACTCCCAAGACATCACGTCTGTAAACGCTCCTACGTCACCACATAATGCTCTAATGAATTAGAGAAAATCATAGATATTCAACGCTCCAAAGCCGTCACGTGATACTCTACAAACCCTCCTACACCACCATATGATGCTCTAATGAATTAGAGAAAATTGTAGATATTCGGAGAAAAAATAATATGTCATCTTTATTTTTACTTAAATTGATGGATCCATTATTTTAGATCATTAGATTAAATTTTACTTTTAGAAAAATTAAAATATAATATTTCCATTCTAATCACCGTCCACGTACAAGAGAAAATGCGTACATTCATAAAGTTCACCAGGAAAAATGTACGTGAGAAAATACGTATGTACATCAAGTTCGCCACATACGTACAGTTCACTGGGAAAAATGATACAGCCCAAAGCAAAAAACCCAAAACAACATACTTATAGTATGATGGAAAAATATACTTTACAAACTACATACGTAGATGAAACCTTAAAAACTGCCAATGCATCCGAAAATGAACGCATGAGATTTGTCCAAGTCACTACATATTTTCCTTAATATGATTGGAAAAGAAAATTCAACTTTGAATTGGGATATTCCAGGTTAGAGGAAGCTAAAATATATTACTTCCTCTTTATTTTCCTATAAGTTGACCATCCATCTTATTAAAAAATTGTATAAATATGTAAAAATATAAATTGGGATTATAGATTTTTTATGATAAAACAAGTAATGATAAAACAAATATCATTTATATATTTTTTAATACAAATGGTCAAATGTCATATCAAAATTTAATAGTGTCATACATTCAAAATCATTACGAGTACTTCACATACATTAAATTGGTAAACATATTATTTTAGGCCATTAAATATCCCTATCCTAATAGCCCATCTACGTATGTAGAATTCAACAGAAAAAAGCTAAAAAAAATACATTCCAAACGGAAAATGATACATACGCACATAGTATTATTTAGAAAAGTAAGCGGTCTTTAAAACTAAAATTTTCTATGATTTAAAGGTAATATTAGTCTATAATCAAACACAGTTGAACTATATCAAAGATAAATTATACTGAGTTAAACTACATCAAAGATAAAATATCAAATTAATGGCCTTTAAATGTCCTTACTTGAAATTATATATCACAAAATTTTTATCACTAAATGAACTATGAACGGATTATAATGGTTATTTGTAGGGCTAAATACATCACAACACATGGTGTCGACATGTAATAATTATAGACACAATAACTTTTAAATAATTTTACATCATAATTTATGGTGCACAATATCACCTAACAAATATACAACACTAATTTGAATATACGTATGTAAACTAAAAACAGTAGAATTTAATCATCTTTTTTGAAGTATATCTAATTTAATTTTGTTTATTTTTCAAAACTATTTGACTGGTGTAGATATGAAGTCAAAAGCATACATGGTCAAAAAAACCAGAAGCATACATTCTATGTAGATATGAAAAATAATATCAAAAATATTTCTAGCCACTATAATACAACCCCTTAATACATCATGATAATTATGGTCATATATGTAAATTTGTTTTCTTTGCCAAGACAGTATTGGCAACAAATGAACAATTCAGTAACATTGACATTAAAGTACTCATGATATATTTTCTAATAGTGGAGAAATTCTGACGTGACTGTAAGTGCACTCCAATAATGAATAAGCTATAGTAAATAAGTTTCAGAAAATAAACAAAATTTTGAACCTAGTAAATTTGTCTAGAACAACAAGTGTTAAAGGCAAACCAGGGGTTAATCTTAGAGATTATTAGTGTGGTATCTCTCTTTAAATATATTTATCAGTAATATCCATTGATCAACCTCGGTCATTTTTTAAAAAGGATATTGTTTCTATAGAATTAAAATTTGAGTAATATTAATGAACACAATAAACAAACTATGTCTACTCTATACCATAAAACAACTCATAACATAAAAACAAATTATTTTCGTCACCTTCGTCTTCTCTTTGTACTTTTCTGAAGGGCACCATGCATGATAGTAGAGCATTCTACGCAATCATAAGTAAAGCAGAGGCATACATATGGCGGGCTGAGGTAGTCCCAATGAGAGGATGCCTTTAGCAATAGAGCTCAACTTCCTATTTCAGGAGGCAATTCTCTATGAGGGCACCTATAATTAATTAGGCATTAAAATTATGCTCCACGCTGGTCTAGAATGACATGGCTATGAGAAACCC